CATATCCCCTCACCTCAGATACTATATCTAAATCCGGGTCATAACACCCATCTCCCCTATTCCCAGCCTCTAAAATGTTGGAGGGAATCTCATCTTCTCCCTCTTCTACCACCCTATGATCCCTCCTCTCCTCCACCGTCCTCTCCGAACTAGTTGGAGACGGACTACTCTCCGAATCCATACTACCGTAATCCAGGGGCATCACTTCGCTCCCCACTACACTCATGGCCTCTTCCGAAGACATCTCAATTTCTGCATAAAGGGGGAGGAGGAACGATGTCAGGACCCTTAACAATTCCAACACACTCAACACATTCTCACTCCTAACCCTAATTTCCTCCAAAAAATCCGAAATCAAACACAGAAAAGGAGAAAGTAGAATGGCAAAATCGAACTCAAAAACTCAAATACGAAATCACAAATTCATACTCTTTACCTAATTTTGGACTTGGAAACTGTTGTTGAAGTCTTGATCGAAGCGCAAACCGCACGAAACCGCAGAAATTTAGTAGAAATTTCACAAGGACGTATTAGCAAAATAACGAGAGTAAAAAAGTCCCCTTTTACAGAAGTGTAGCGTTTTATACCAAGGGCAAAATACGCCCCAACGGCCGTGATTAACTCAATCTAACGGCTGCAGAGACACCGTTTCGAATTCGACGGTTAACAATTAAACGACACCGTTTCGAATTCGACGGTTCGCTTTTCAAATCTGTCCATTGGACTGTTGCAGTTATCTTTTACAGCGACATTTATTACACACGTCATTCAGAGGATAACTGTCGCGTCACGTACCGCGTCTTGGTCAGACTTCTCAGACAGGCCCACTTAAGCCCATTTCAACACTATTCCACTTTTGTACATTTTAAATTTTGGCAAGTGTTTTACTTCGGCAACCGACTTGACGACTCCGGCCACAGTGACCCAATGTCACACCTTTTACTTCGGCTTCGGCCACAGTGACCCAGTGTCACACCTTTTACTTCGGCTTCGGTCACAGTGGCCCAGTGTCACACCTTTTACTTCGGCTCCGGCCACAATGACCTAGTGTCACACATTTTACTTCGACTACGGCCATAGTGACCTAGTGTCACACCTTTTACTTCGACTCCGGCCACAGTGACCCGGTGTCACACATTTTACTTCGGCTACGGCCACAGTGACCCGGTGTCACACGTTTTACTTCAGTTACAGCCACAGTGACCAAGTGTCACACGTTTTACTTCAACTTTGGCCACAGTGACCCAGTGTCACACGTTTCGCTTCGGCTACCGCCACAATGACCCCGTCTCACATATTTTACTTCAGCTCCGGCCACTATGATTCTTGTTATACCCTAAAAGTAAGTCCTATAATAATTAGGACACGTGTAGACAATATAGAGACAATCCTATCAATATAAGGATAGAATAAATCCTGATATGATAAGAATACCCAAATACCAATTAAATAAAATTATATTCCTAGAATAACTGTATCTAAGCATCCTATAAATACCTCTAGGATCAACCTAAGGAGGTAGATTATTTTCCACTATCATTCTCCCTCTATTGTAAACACTCTCTATCAATAAAGATCTTGGTCTCACACCATCTACTCTATTTTTACGATTAACATTTGGCGCCCACCGTGGGGTCGAGTTCTTTTTGATCCACGAATACCACATGGAAAATTCAGAAAATTCATCACCTCCTAGTAGAAGCACCCCAGATTCCAGAAGCAAAGCCAGAATGAGCAACTCCTCTTCATCAAGCACGAATCCAAGAGATACTGTCAACAAAGCCAAACCATCAGACTCAACGGTAGCATCGCAAATACAGAAACTTACACAAGACATGGAAGAAACTAGGCAAAGTCTAAAAGCAATCAAATGGGCCATAGCATCTATGACAAAGGCTACTAATACCTCGTCACAAAAAGCTAAATGAGAATGCTTATCACAAAGTGACGCCAGGAAACTTGAAGGGAAGGAGCAAGATTCAGCACAAGGAAACAGCAATCAAGATGAAAGCTACGTACCTTCAAGATCGACAGAGTTGACAATCGACACGAGCTTACAACCATCCTCAGCTTTCACTCAATACAATTTTCGGAGTAAAAACATGATACCTCGTACACATTCAAACCAAAGGAAGGCTAGCCAACAAATCCAAGAAGCCACACTCACTGCAGCAGGTCCACAAAAGACACAAACACAGTTTCATGATGATGGTGTTTACAAAGAAATTGAGGTGTTGCAACAACATCTGGCAAAAATAGAAGCAGGCAGGCAGAGGTATGTAGAACCATCACACACAGCTTCAATAGAAAAAGCCTTTATAGACGACATCATCAGGGAACCTGTGCCATCAAACTTCAAAACTCCGCAGCTAGCTGAGTACGATGGAACTCAAGACCCAGTGGAGCACGTGCAAGGATATAGAATGGCAATGATGGTATATGGAGCCTCGAATGCCCTATTATGCAAGCAGTTCCCAGCAACTTTCAGGAAAGCTGTGCAGGCTTGGTTTGCAACATTACCAGAAAAATCTATCCAGACCTTTTATCAATTTGCGAACATGTTCATCAATCACTTCACTGCCAACAGAGCTTCCCAAAAGACTAACCATCATCTCCTAACAATTAAACAAAAAATAGGAGAGTCACTAAGAGCCTACATAGCAAGATTTCACAACGAAGCTGTGCAAGTAGAACGATTGGACCAAAGCGTGGCAATGCATGCTCTAATGGACAGACTTAAAGACTCAAGTTTCTATAGATCTCTAAACAAGCGAGAACCCACTAGCCTTAATGATCTCTTAAGAAGGACAGAAGGATACATCAAAGCAGAAGAAAGGGCGGCAGTAAAAGAAGCACAAGAAACATCAAATTCAGAAAGAAAGCGAAAAATAAAAAAAGATATAGATAATGAAAGTACCAAAGACAGAAAACAGTCAAGATACAACTACCTCCATATTTGAAGAAGCTTTGTTACAATCACATTCAACCACATCAAATGATGAATCAAA